ACTTGTATGTTTTCAAAGAATTTACGTTAAAAGTGTTATTATTTGGTTTTACAGTAGCTAGTGTTAGTGAATGGTTACATAAGTGACATGTTCTAAAGAAACACAAGCAAAACCTTGGACTGTGTCTTCATTGTTGAATTGATTGCCCTTTCTGATTTGCCCCTTTACTACTGATATAGTTAATTTGATTTCCTTTTCTTACGGAATATGCGGAAGCACGCGATTGATGAACCTGGTGCTTAAAATGCTTGAAGACAATTTGAGGTTAATATGGGATCAATGTTTGTCTGGTGGTTCTTCTAGCTGACCATGATTTACGGTCCTTCACTTTCTTTTTGCAAATTATCTACAAAAACTGCTCGATCCACAAGCTATTTTTGATTGGTGAAGGTTGAACTTTAGTATTTTGGGGCCGAATATATAGATGTATATTCAATTTGTAAAAGAAGTTAACTTTTTGTATTTTGCGATGCTGGAATGTATGTATAGATGTAGCTTGCTGAATCATAAAACCCAAAATGTTGAAATGTATTTCGAATTTTGGAATGAAATCAAGGCCTCATATATTAGTGGCATCAGTAAGAAAGATCGGATGAGATTGTAAATACAGTACTTCTGTTATGTAAACAGTGTAATGGATAACTTATTTGAACTTTCTGTTAGAGTTAACATATTTGATTTTATTGAACGGGGAAATGTAAATAGCATTTTTATGAATCCATAAAATCATACAATGTGTGCTTTCTTCCTTTTTATGTACGGAACAAATATGTTTTTGTTCATCTACACATCAAATGTTTTCAAATAACTATTCATGATCATTTGGCTCTCAACTTTAATTATATTTTCCTAATGAACAGAAAGATGGGTAATCCGCAAAGAGGATCTTCTTTCTTTGACATGGAAGTAAGTTTAAGGATTTTTTGTAAGTTATTTAACTACATTTTTAATAGGAATTGACTTCATATTTAATATTCGATAAATGATGCATGTTAGCATCAAATTGGTAGAACAATTTATGGAGAAGAGTATCCTAGCTTTGGAAGTCACGAGACATAAGTTATTTTCTTTATGCCATTTTTGCCTCTTAAGGCAAGGGTCAAAAACTTTTCCATAAGTTGGACATAGTGAAATAGTGTAAATTATTGCCCGAGGCCTATATTATTTTTTGAGCTGGCAATAATTTACACTAGAATATATCACTTCTTTCAATTTTCAAAAGAGACATATCCACCTTGAAGTGCATCAAGTGAGAGGAAGTTTTTTAATTTTTCATTCATATGCTTGGAACATCCAGTATTCATGAATTAACAATGACTACTTCCTCCTATTTTCTCATGCACAGAAGAATTATTTGTTAGACTTGGAAATCCATTTAAAATTGAGTTCCCAAAAAGAAGATGGGGGTGTAATAGGCAGTCTGACTTTCTTCACTTCAGAGGCAGGACTAGGTCCTCTTCTAAAGTTTCTTTTATGTTCAACATAGTTTGAGAAATTCTTCTCAATTTTTGTCAAGGTTTCATAGCAAATTATTAGGCATAAACACATATTTAATGTGGGGATTATATGGATGATCTAATTTTTGACACCCTAGACCCTTGTGGCTATACACTTAACTTACTAGCATTTTATATCATATGGTCCATTTACGCAATTGGTTGAGCTCTTCCTTAACTCGAAATATGTCCTTTTCTTATTGGGCATTTTTCTAGGGATACAACCAGATTTGATTTAAACTTTTTCAAGCTCTCTTCAAGTTCTAGCTGAAGTCTACTAGCCTCACTTTTCCTTTTGAATTAGACTTAGGAGTTATCTTCAATCTCCTAGATCTATAATTTTAGCTAAAGCAAACTTTTCTCCTAAATTAGAAATCTTAGTAGTTAAGACAATTTCTTCATTTTGAAAAATGTCTAGACTTTCATTCAAAGAATCATTTTGAGTAAGCTCACTAAGTGAGTCAATCAAAACATTAACTAAAACTTTTCAGTTTATTGAGAGAGTTAACATTAAGGTTTTGCTTAACGTCGAGTAGAGGTGTCAAAATGGGTTGGCCCAACCCAATCTAACTCAACCCTAACGGGCTAGAGAGTTAAATGGGTTGGGGCGGGCTGACCCTTTTAATTAAAGGGCCAATAAAATAGCGGCCCAACCCAACCCTAAGCGGGCCACGGGTTCGGACGGATTTGCCCTTCAACAAAAAAATGATCAATATTATTCTCTTAGAAAGAGTATCGAATGTTGACGTCTATAAACACGACATCAATTCATAAAAAAATTCATTTATAAATCACAAATTTCGGTAATACTTACAAAAATACATTTATGAATCACACACTTTAGTGAATACTTACAAAAATACATAATAGACAACGTATGATTTAGCGGATAGATGTTGATCATTCCATTCTCCCACAAAAAACTAGTTGGTTTAAAAGATTTCCAGCAACACAAGGCAACCTAAATACTTAACAAATCTAAATTTCTAAATATTACATGACTCATTAATTAATGTTTTACAACCCCGCTTCTACTTCCACCATCGATCACATTTGAATCAACATGTGATAATATTTCCTTAAGAAGTTCATCTTCATCTACAATTCACCATCCAAAATGATATTGCAAAATACTTGATTTTTATTTTTCAAAATATTTATTCATAAAATCTTTACAAATAAAACACTATTAAAATATATAAAGAAATATTTTAAGAAATTAATAGCCCACAGGCTCGCCTCAGAGGCTTGTGGGTTGAGCCTACGAGGCCAACAGGCCAAATGGGGCGGGCTAAAAAGCCTCGTTCATAAATGGGCCAAAAATATTAAGCCTAACCCCACTTATTTCAAGGGTTGGAGTGGGCTGGCCTCGCGGGTCAAGCCCATTTTGACGGCTCTAATGTTGAGAAGTGTTACTTCTTCGTTCTCACATCTTTTGATTTTTGAGGGAGAAGAGTGGGTAGAAAGCATTTTCATCATCCTCCATTGTCATCATAGACGCATCTTCTATGTTTTCGAGTTCATCAGATTCACTTGATGAGTCTCCCAAGTAACAAGATCCTTTTTGACAACATAATCAGTCGCAGCTCTTCTTTTGGACTTGTCTGGGACCCAATATCTTCTTTTTTTTCTTTATCACCACCAGATTTTTGAGCGTCTTTATACTCAACTTTGTGCATTAGACAATATTTGATGTAATGACCTGATTTTCCTTATTTGTGGCACAGATCATTTCCATTTGAGTGTTTACTTCCACTTCCTCTTCTCATGAACCCATCATTTCTTCTTACAACCTTATGAAACTTTCGAGTGAGGTAAAGCATATCCTCATCTTCCTCACTGAACTCACCTTGAGCATCTTTGAGAGCCGAAGCTTTTTTTCAGTTCTTTCTTAGGCTGATTTTGTTGCTTGTTGAGCTCATATGTCTTAAGATTTTCGGTCAAATCTGAGTTTTGAGATATGAGCAGGATCTTTTTTGGGTGTTTACTGTAGAGAGAGTTCAAGCTTTGATACCAATTGATGGCTTGTATGAGTCCTTCACCAATCAAGAGAAGAAACTAGTAACAGAAGGTGAAGTAAATTCTTAAAGTGAAGAACATAGATGTTTACGTGGAAATCTCCTTGCTCAAGGAAGGATAAACCACAACTTGTCACGTAGGATTTTTCAAAGTTCCGATATTTTCTAGCAACTTGTAAAGACAGAGTGGAGCATTTACCAAAAATTAAACTCATAATCACATAATATTACAAGATCAAAGATATAACTCTATTGCCCACTATATCAACTACCTCTAGATAACATAAACTTCAACACACACAACTCGGCTAGCTCTAGGAACAACCTCAACTCTCAACAAAATAAGATTTGAAACGATCGACACTCCTTAATATCATAGGAGTAGATCTACAATAATGGAACAAATACTAAATTCAATACACCACAAAGGACGTCGCAAAACTCGACCAGGTCCCTCATTATGTGAGAAACTGAGAATAGTTTTTCCTTGAGAATGACTTTTGATTGAATATTCTTGATTCCAGAAATCATGTTTAATCTTGTCAACATGTTCTCTCTATAAAAAAAAAAAAAAAAAAAAAACCTAGGAGCAACGCCATTGGTCGAGAATTATTGTCCTTCTTGCCTTTGTGATAGTGTCCACCAACCACTGTAGTTCCTACAACTTTACAACAACACACTGTTGACCTGACCTTTGCTAGATCCCTCCACGAACCAGGTTCCTTTGCACCATAGTGTGTTAATTCATCAAAACGAAGAATACAACAAGTTGGTCTTGTGGTGTCCAAACTCCATAATCTGAATTTATCTTGGATGTGTCCGACTGTCCGAGCCTTCTGTGGAGAGACTCAGCGATGAACAATTTCTTGATCCATCGATGAGGCCCTATATATGCCCGCGAAGAAACAGTACTAGTTGTGTTCTCCATAATAGTTAGTTTTTAGATGTCAATTTGATTGAGTAAAGAACATGGTTTCAGGGGGTTGGAGAAGAAGTTGGAAGAAGAAGTCATTCTCGACGAAGAAGCCATAGGCTCTAATTATTACCACATTAAATCTTGACAAAAGACTCAAGAAGAAGAAGAAGATATAAAAATATGCAAGGGCTTTCTTGTTTTACTATACACAAAAATGGGTATATTTATATAAATGGGGGTCCTAGACTGATAGACAAACAATAAATACATAGTAAACAAAATTCTAAATGTATAAGAAGATGAGTCCTAGATAGTCAAGAATCAAGAGTGTTTATGTACAAGACGCAACAACATTGGATCATTCTTATCATAAACTTACACCACCATAATATAACGAATCACAAATGTTCTTAAGAACCAAATTGTGGTTTCACAAACAGGAAACAGCTTTGGTAGCTGCACATCCATCGATCAAAAAAATGTTTTAAAAAAATAAGCTGGAAGATAACAAGAGTTTCTCCCAACAGAATAATTAAGCATTCAAAAACAAAAATACTTCGACGTCTTGTTTCAGACAGGGATGACATGACCAACTGAATGGGATCTCCGTAATGCAGCTGATGCACTTTGCTCCGCGGCTTTCTAAAATGGAAAGACAAGTTAGAAGTTAGAACTAACTTTCAAAAAGTGTGTTTTAATATATTGTAAATGTGTTTTTTACATACGTTTTCGGACAATGTGTTTTTCAATACTTTTTCCATCTCCTCAACGACAACGTCAATAGTTGGACGACCTTTGCTTGATTTGGCAACACAAAGCACTGCAATTTGAAGTATGGACTCAAAATCCACACTGTTCACTTCACCTTTTAGCCTCGGGTCCTCGAAGTCTTTTAGTCCCCGTTTACCCATGCTCACATCCTTTGCCTAATTAACATTACCTTTAGTTAATTATCACTGCTAATTTTTACTATAAGCTTAGAATGATGAGCTAGTCAGAACATACTTTTCTTGTTAGTTGGTCTCTGGCATCCAAATCAAGTTCAATCACTTTCTGGCCAGAAAGAACCTGTAAAGCTACTATACCAAAGCTGTAAATGTCACTTGCACACGTCAATTTCGCGTTACTCATATATTCTGGATCCATATAACCTATCGTCCCTCGTACATCTGTAAACACTTTGCTCTCTTCCATTCCCAACATCTTTGCCAGTCCAAAATCTGATAGCTTTGCATCCAGATCCTCTGTTAAGAGGATATTTGTAAGCTGCACACATCGTAATTCACAAAAAAAGAAAGTAAATATAAATATTATCATAAGAAATACAATTCAAGAGAAATGATTTAGTAGCTGATACCTTAATATCTCTATGAACAATGAATCCATCTATGTAGCTGTGGAGATACCTCAATGCAAGTGCACAATCTCTTAAGATTTTTACCCTTTGTTCCCAACTTAGGACCATGTCTTTCCCTAAAAAAAAAATTAACACGTTTATTAGTAACATAAAGAGGGTGAAAACGATCGATTTTGAAAAATTACTCTACTCTACTTACTCAGAAGATGTTGAGCTAGATTTCCAGCAGAGCAATACTCGTAGACTAAATATTGTTCACCGTCTTCAATGCAACACCCAAAGAGGCAAACAAGATTAGGATGTCTGACTCTGGAAAGATTCTCGAGTTCTCTACTGAAAGAATCTGACGTATTACTTCTATAAATCTGCTTGATAGCAACTACTTGTCCACTAGGAAGAACCCCTTTGAAAACTTGCCCTGCACTACCGCGTCCCAGGAATTTCTTCTCATCTCCATAATTTATCGCGTTCTCAATCTCAGCTTTCGAGAAAGTATATAGCCCTGGACAAGAAGGGAACATCTTTGGTTTTGAACGAAGAAGCTTTCGTCCAGCCCTAGCGTTTCTTGTTACATACTTAACTAGAAAGATCACCATCATCATCCCAAATGTTGCTAAAACTATTGCAACCAATGCTTTCGCTAAAGAATCTGCACTTTTTCAGTAAATTAATTAGAATAACATTGTGAAACAATTAGTATTACCTTCTTTTTTAAAAATCTCATACTTACATCTGATTTTAATGTAATGTTCACTTGACTTATCTGTACAAAGAAAGACATTAGTAAACATTCCAATTAGAAGATAAAACTAGTGTCATTAATTTCATCACCTAGAGTATTCAGCCCTGGCAAACATCTGAAGAAATCGTCGATTAAAGAAGGATCATTTAATTTTGTGGTAGCAGCTGAAATGACAACAGCCACAAGACATATAGCTCTCTCAGTTCCATTATCTTTTGCATTTAACTGTTCAAGGAAATGATCCCTCGTAGATTTGATGGCACTTGTGCAATCTCTACAAGCATCGTCGAAGTTAGAGGAATTGAAACGTGAACAGTTGTACCAGACATTCTTAAAATTCTGATTCTGCACAACACTTGTCAAAGAAAGGGTAGAGCATCGGCTGCTTTCTTGATAGAGGTGATCAAGTCCACATTTACTGATAGAAACAGAGGGCTGGTGCTTAAAGGATCCAGAGGTGCAACGTCCCCATTGATCGCGATGGAGAAAGAGGTTCCCTTGTTGAATTGCTTGATTAGCTAATGCATGAGAGAAGAAGTTGAGGGCATTTTGGCAGCATCTTGTGGTGGGGAAACTGTCCCATTCATTTATCATTTCTTGATCGATAGCAATGCATTCACCGGTTGGTTTGTATGGAGATGAGGTGAAGTTCAGCCCACAATCTGCACATTTAAGTACAGGACACCAAACCAATTTACTATTAAAGTTTGAGTTAATATCTCAAAAGATCCAAGTTAGCTTAGTAAAGTTATCATATAGTCTTGTACGGTAGACCACAGCTAAGTAGTTTTATTAATACAAAATAAAATTTAATGACTTGCCACAAAAATTTTCTTAACTGACTTATATAAGTCACAAAAAGATAAAAATGACCAAACTAAGTCAGTATTTTTAAAGTAACTAAAATAGGTTTAGTGGGAAAAAAAACTCCACTTTATCTAATATTCTAAACGTTTTCAATTAGTCTCATAACGTATTTATTTTAATATATAACAGAACAATTTATTACGCTTTATAAAGTGTAAGTTTTTCTTACACTTTGCAAAGTGAATTTTTTTCTTACACTTTATAAAGTGGAAGAAATAATTATGTTTTACAAAGAGAAATATTTTTCACGTTTTGAAGGTTTATGAAACTTTTGCAGTGTTTGTCGTACAATTATATGGATTTGACATATCATTAAAAAAAATTATTACGTTATGTATTTTTATTTTTTTATTCTGAAAACTCCTCGAAACTCTATTTAAGGACATTCAACATAGCACCTTCAACATCTTTAGTCTTCTATTTTTCTTCATTTCAATCATAAAAAATATCTTCTACCCCAAAAGTTAGAGTTTTTTATTTATTGGGATGGCGAAATTATACATGAAGAAAATACCGTTTATTATAATTGTCCTCGCAAACACAATGCTAAATATTTTATTAATGTCTGATATCAAAATTTCTTTCATCAATTTTATAAAAGAATGTGTATAAATAGTACTGATTAAAATTTGATTATAGTCGAAAAATATTCTACTTCATTTTTATTACAAAGACAAGTAAATTTTGGAGAGTGAATTATTTATAATGACGAATTGTTGACCGACTTTTTTAGGGTTACAAATGACTACATAGATTAAATCAAGTTAATAATACTTGAAATTTATGTTAGAACGGAGTCTAACACCAATCAACAACTCTATCGATTCAAAATTTATGTTAAATTTATATTTATCTTTGTAAATCATAATTTTTTTCTTCCACTTTGTAAAGTGTAAGAAAAAGTTTCACTTTATAAAGTTTAGGAAAAACTTACACTTTATAAAGTGTAGATAAACAGTTATGTTATATATTAAAATATACACGTTATGAGACTAAGGGAAAACGTTTAGAATATTGAATAAAGTGGAGTTTTTTCTTCCACTAAGTCTATTTTAGTTACTTTTTAAAATAATGGCTTATTTTGGTCACTTTTTTTTTATGGCTTGTTAATTAGGTTCTGGACTCTATTAACTCCAACTCCCTCCGCCCATCTGTACTTGTTCATGTTTCACTTGGCACAATAATTTTACTATATCACTCCTGTTAATTATAAGTCATCTTAATATTGAAAATAATTGTATTTAACAGCAAGGATAAAATAGACCAAAGAAAAGGTCATTATTATCTTATTTACTTTCATTCCGATAAACTTAACTTTAAAGAATAGGCGGTTCATATCTTTCTATGACCCCCAAAATAAGAAGTAGGAGGATAGGTAGAGCAAGAGCTCTTGATGTCTACCCGGCATGCTTCTTCATTCATCCATTTAGGCCCGACTAGAAACACATAGATCCAAGAAATCTGCTTTGGAAACAACTTCTTACTAACTGGAGTTAATCATAGTAAGAGAGTCAACTCTTTGAAATAGAGTGTCGTCTCTCACAAAATGATAAATTATTTATTGATTTTTATAAATGAGACAAGTATTATTGTCCATATGTAGACGACAAGTAAAGAGGAACGGAGAGAGTAAAACAAGTCAAAGCAAATACCTAAGTCTTCTGGAGAAGGCACGGCGAGATGAGCAAAAATAAGACATATTTGGAAAAATAAGATTGCCTTGATGACTACAATAACCATCTCCCTTAATTGATGATACTTAATCAAGAAAATCTGAAAATTAGAGTTAACATATTAATTTTAAAGTTATAGTTTAAGTTAATAAAATTGTTTTTTTCGACAGACAAGAAAATGTGATGGTCATATATAGGAAAAGTTTCCTCATTAAAATCGAAGAATATATGAGAATAGGATATATTCTTTTTATTTTATTATTTATGTTGCATAGTAATTCTCCGCGCACAACAGCTTTGAAATGGCTCTTTGTGCATAATAATATACTTTCTATATTAATTTGACATTTACAAAGTCTAAAGACCAATCAATGTGCTTTATATTTTTGTGGAGTGGAAATTTACATGTATTAAAAAAGAAAGAAAATAATTGGAACAATGAACTATATGCTTGAGACTTCTATTTTACTTTGATTAGAAGAAAACGAATCGATATTATCAAATTCAAATTCATCAAAATTCTTATGAAAAAGTATGTCCAAACAAAAAAAGAGTACAAGGGTAGATAGAAACCGGATGTACATCGCACGCACTCACATACTTATATTCTTTTATACAAAAAGTAATAATTTATAAGTTGGTTTGTGATTAATCACTCTGCATCTATTCAATTATTTAATATGTTCAACTTGTTTCGACTTTCAATTCTTTTATGGTTATCTTATGTGCTATAATTGTAGAATATGCAACTACTTTTTATAGTTTTTTTCCTCTCTTTAAAGGGGGTAAAAGGATGTATAATTTTGGTTGCATGAAAAAAAAAACAAGTCACTCTTTTCCTCTTCTTTTTTTTTTTGTTTTTGAGGGAGATGGGATTTTTTATTCATATGACACAGATAATCGATAAAATTATTTATTATAACTCTAACACTTCCGATTGACTCGATATGAATATATCTATTCTTTTTATCATCTTATTAATTTATGGAATTTTGGACTAATCTTGATGCAGTTATCGACTTCTTTTTATCAAATCGAAGTATTATATCATTGCGTCATGCCTGTTTTCCTATAACATTGAAGAGACAATCAACTTAAATTAATAAAAATAAAAAGGTAAAACTCAAAAACAAACCATACATATGTAGTAATTTTACAATAATTAAAACATTATGACATATATACAAAGTTTGTCAGTCAACATGTGTGTAGTCCATTTCTTGATTACAAAGGGTAAATAAACCTAAGAGGGTAATGATTAATGACTTCAAAAAATAAGCTTGTAAGTATCTCTTATTTCCGAACCCCCTTTTAATTAAAATCTTAGAAAACATAGATTTATAACCCCTTGTAATATAATTATGCAAAATTTGATTTAATTAAGTTCTAGACATGACCAGGAGGAACATTAATAGGCCAACCATTATTGGTCATGAGCCTCCAAGTGTTGTTCAGCTCCTCATAAACTTTGTCTATTGTTGGGCGCTCTTCTCTTGTTTCAGACACACAATTTACTGCAATTTGCAATATGGATTTCAATGCTTCAACGTTTATTTGTTTCCCTTTCAATTTGGGATCTTCAAACTCCGTCATTGGAAGCTTTCCACTACTCACATTCTTTGCCTGCATCAGATCGATTTATATTACTCATTTTTCTGTTTAATCAGTCTTCAAGAGAAAAAAAAAACTATATTACTATAAAATATCTAATTTACCCTTAGTGGTGTGATGTATAGTCACTCTAATGATCTATGACTTATTTTACTCTAAGTATTTTTTTTTTCTTAAATTTTGTATCAAATCAAACTACGTTACACAAACTAGAACGGATGGATAGAGCATTTACCTTTGTTAATAATATGTGTCTGGCATCTTCATCGAAGTGAGGAATTTTTATTCCAGATAGGACTTGCAACATTATAACTCCAAAGCTATAAACGTCAGTTGCACAAGTGAGTAAACCACTCTTTTTGTATTGAGGGTCTGTGTATATTCCATTTTCCAAAACATCTCCAAATACTTTGCTTTCTTCCATTCCTACTTTGCTTTCTTTCATTCCTAGCATTTTTGATTGACCAAATCCACATATTTTTGCTTCCAATGTCTCATTCAAAAGAATGCTACTAAGCTGTCACATAATTAGAACACTACTATTAGTACTAAATTTCCAAAGATAAATAATTTTTGTACAAACAAATTACTCTATTTGGTCTAATTTTATATGACTCGTTTTTTTTTTAGTCCGTTAAAAAATGACATATTTTTAAATTAAAGTAATAATTTAATTATAAAAAGTTTATTTTACCCTAAATGAAATTATGTAGCCACACAAACAACTATCACTTATTTTAGACCACAAATTTCAAAAGTTTTTTCTTTCTTTCTTAAACTCAATGTCAAATTAAATTAAAATCATATAAAATGAAAAAGGGAGTAAAATGATTACCTTAATGTGGCAATGAATGATGCTGCCATCAATATAATTATGGAGATATGTGATTGCACTTGCACAGTCCCTTAGTATTTTAACTCTTACATCCCAACTCAAAATAGTGTCTTCTCCTAAATAATATTTCACGTAACGTTAACTTTAGAGAGAAATTATAATGTATAGAACGAATCAATCATTTAAACCATTTATAGTCTCAATAAATCTTACTTGAAACTCTGTGTCCAAATCAAATAATATGACCCATAAAATGAGATGAAAGAAGTAATATATATAAAGTTTTTACAAAGTTTGTACATACTCATTGACAGGGGGTATAACATGTGTGCCCAAAAACTAGATAAAGGATAAATTATTAGGTGTATTTTTGCTATGTAGGCAAAAATCAAATAAATAAAGAGAGTTTAACATTTGCGCACGTACAAGATTTACCCATCAAATTAAAATTACGTATAACAACAAATATGTAATCCTCTATAAGAAGCCTAATTTTACTTTTACTTATCCAGTATGCTTAAATTAGATTTTTACTTTTATATTAAAGTAAATTTTTTTCAACTTCTATTTATATGTTGTTCTAATTAAAAATAAATAATTATTAATAAGTATTTCCTTTATCTCTAGTTAATCGTTCAATTTTTCTTTTTTATTTATTCATTTTTACTTGTTCATTTTGACAAATCAACAAAGAATAATTTTTTAACTTATTATACCCTCGATTAATTAGTTTTGACAAAGGTAGAACTTTTTGAAAATCTTAAATTTTAAAATTTATCAACTTCATAATTAATATGGATAAATAGTAAACTTACTATGTCAATTATTATTTTTTCTAATAGGTGTATCGATTCAAAAGTGGATAAGTAATTAGACAAAGAGGGTATCGTCATTTCACAAAATCAATACATAAAGGGAAAAGGGTCAAATATACCCCTAAACTATTCGAAAAGGTCTAAATATACCCTCCGTTTAAAGTTTGGTTCACTCATGTCCTCGCCGTCCAACTTTTGGTCCAAATATGCCCTTATGGGCGTTAGTTGACATGTTGGACATATCCAACTCATTTTTCATTTATTTAAATGTCACGTGAAATTGTCATGTCATTTTTACCTTACCACATGACATTTATATGAAAATGGAAAGATATTTGGACTCATAAACACCTAATCTGACCCATAAATCAATCCACTTTTAAATAAATTATCCAACCGATTTTCAACAATTCTGTTTAATTTTTATTTTTCGATAAATTCTGAAAATGAGTAATTGATTAATAACAAAAATAGGAAATATATGAAAAAAGATAAATTTAACGCCAAAAATTCACAAATAATTATAGTAGCCTTACATTCAATTTAAACACTTTTTAAAAAAATTTCTTTTTTTCAATAAATCCCGAAAATGAGTAATTGATTGATAAAAAATATGAAAAAAAATATAAATTCACGCCAAAAACTAAAAAGTAAATACATTAACCTTAAATTCAACAATTTCAATATTTTTTTAATTTTTAATTTTTTCGACAAATCCAAAAAATGAGTTTATTAACAAAAAATATGAAAAAAATATAAAAACTACATAAAAAAATTCACAAAATAAAAAATAGGAAAATATGAAATAAATATAAAACGAAAAAAAACTGTTGAAATTATTGAATTTAAGGTAACTATATTTATTTGTGAATTTTGACGTAAATTTAATATTTTGTTTTCATAGTTTCCCCTTTTTATTAATAAATTACTCATTTTCGAGATTTGTCGAAAAAAATAAAAATTTTAAAAAATTGTAGAATGAAATGTTACTATATTTATTTGTGAACTTTTGGCGTTAATTTTTATTTTTTTTAATACTTTTCATATTATTTTATTAATCAAATTATTCATTTTTGAGATTACCGAAAATATAAAAAATTTAAAAAAAATATTAAAATGTTAGATTTAAGGTTCATATATTTATTTGTGAATTTTCGGCGTTAATTTTATATTTTTTCATATTTTTTCTATTTTTTATTAATCAATTACTCATTTTCGGGATTTATCGAAAAAATAAAAACTAAACAAAATTGTAAAAAGGGGTCGGATAGTAAATTTAAAAGGAGTTAATTTACGGGTCGAATTAGGTGTTTATGAGTCCGAAGATCTTTCCATTTTCATATAAATGTCATGTGGTAAAGTCAAAATGACATTGCAATTCCATGTGACATTTAAAGAAATAAAAAAATGAGTTGGATATGTCCAACATGGAAACTAACGCCCATAAGGGCATATTCGTACCAAAAGTTGGACGGTTAGGGCATGAGTGAACAAAACTTTAAACAGAGGGTATATATAGACCTTTTCGAATAGCTTATGGGCATATTTGACCCTTTTCTCATACATAAATAAAACTATTCTTCATATTTTACTTTTGAGTTATTAACTTTGCAAGTATAAATTTGACCAATATAGGAAAACTAAATGATTAATACATGTTCATTGGTCAATTTAATTAATCAAAATAAATTAATATATATTTATTTGTTGAAAACTTGACTTCAAGAAAACACTAAATAAGGGTAAAATAGTACTCCCTCCGTTTCTTTTTATATGTCATTATTTTTTATATAGTTGGTCGATAATACTTGTTACTTCATAAAATCTATGCACAAATTACTATCCTTTATTTTTTTACTCTTGTGATTAGTTATTGGTCTTGAAAAATATATATTAGACCAACTTAGAAAAGCTAAGTAAATGATCATGCTCATATTGGTTAAGTTAATTAAGCAAAATAAATTAATTCATATTCATGTATTGAAAACTTGAGTTTCAATAAAATTAAATAAGGGTAGAATATTAAACTTACTTAGTTTCTTAATACACGTGAAATTCAAAATGGTGACATATAAGTAGAAACAGAGGGAGTAAACTTACATAGTTTCTTAAAAGAGGTAAAAATTTAAGATAGTGACATATAAATAGGAACGTTCTATAACATATAAGAAATACAATTTACTATTAAATTTTTTTTGCATGTTTTACCCTTAATATTAATTAAGTATTCTTCAAATTATTTTTTAAGACCTAATACTTAACTTCAATTAATATGAATAATAAAATAAAATAATTATGTCAAAATAACAGTATTTTCATAATGGATGTGTCGAGTCCAAATATAAGAGAAATGGAGAGAGTAATAAATTAAAAGGTTAGAGGAAGAGAAACTAACTGATTAAATATTGTGCTAGATTTCCACCAGAAGAGTGTTCATAAACCAAAAAGTGTCTTCCATCTTCATTACAAAAACCCAATAGACAAACAATGATTGGATGTCTAGCTCTTGATAGACACTCAACTTCCCTAGTAAAAGAGTCCATTGCATCTTTTGTTTTGTGCATCTCTTTAATAGCCACATTTTGTCCACTTGGTAATATCCCTTGATAAAACTCTCCCCTTCTTCCATGTGCTATCCACTTTCTTCTTCTCATATTACCAATGTTTAAAGCATTCTCAATTTCAACAATTGTGAACTTGTAAAGACCATTAGTGGTTGGGGATTCCACATGTTGAGTTACCACTAGCTTTTTACTTCTCTTCAAAATGCATTTCAACAACTTGACAACTATTGTGACTACTATTATAGTCACTATCATTGCTAAAAATACTTTTTCCATTTAATAGTCTTTTTTTTTTTTTAACTAAATGCTTCTCTAATATCACTACTAGCTAGGTGCACTTCTATCAATTATGTGGTCCAATTATATAATTCACTCAGATAATTAAGAGAATTTAAGCACAATTCCAGTCACATTTTTGAACTTTTATGAGAATATACTAAAATATAGAGAAAATTTGATAGAATGACACGTAAAGTAGCATTACATGAAAAATGATCTTTAGCAACAATCAATTAACGGTAATAATTAAATTGCCGTTGAATATGTATCTATAATGATAATTAACACTCTTTTTAAATGTCAGTAAAAACCTATAGCAATGTTGAATTCAATAACAATTAACTAGTATCAGTAAATTAACACCCCTTATTAAGGTGCATATCCATTGATGCTAAAAATTGTTTTTGTTGTAGTAGTGTAAGTAGAAGTAAAAATAAATAGACCTTAGCTTGACCAAAACTAATGAAGAATGAGAAGACGATGATGGAGCACCCTCAAACGAAGGAACATGTTCAATACTTATAATAAGGTTTGAAAAATAGGGAAACAGAAAAATGTCAATTTTCTTGTGAAATTTACTATGCAATTCCTTTGTCACACTTTCAAGGAAGCCTTGATATTCCCCAAGATCAACTAAGAAAAAATGGGCCATTTTTCGATTCATATTATCAATGCAAGTCCAAAGGATTACCTAGTTAGTAGTTATCATAACAAAGATGACAAAGAGGAGAATAATGTACATAATAAGTTGATGAATGTAGACATATTTTGATATAAATATTTTATCTAATTTGAGATTTCTTTGTTTCTCCAAATCTTTTCTGCTCTACACAAATCCTCCACAATCATTTAGTGTGATTGTGACCAAGGGAGCAAATTCTATTCATGATGCATAGATAACTTCGTTCAATGTTTGTTACTATAATTAACTATAAAGCCTCCCTCTACTTCATAATAATTTTGGAAAAAGGGTAAAAAAATGTCCTTAAATTATGTGAAAAAAACAAAATAGTTTGTTGTTTGTAATTTGGTCCAAAAATACAATATTAATATTTTGATCCAAAAATATTGTTATTATTATTTAATAGGTCAAAATGTTCATTTTCAAAATAAATATATTATGTATTTTCTTTTTTAACACATTTTTGTCTAATAATTTTTTTTAGAAAAATAGCAGATGTTGATCTTTGTTCAATTCAGAATAAAATGTAGAAATGAAAATATTTCTTATTTATTATAATTAATTTTATCGTCATACAAATAAAAATTAATAATGGATTTAGTACGATCATATAGATATGACATAATATCCATTGAAAGAGTATATAAAGTTATTCTATTTTAAATGATAAAATGAGATTAAGAAGAATAAAATTATTTCCTACATTTTTATTAAAAAAACAAGAATAGCGTTCTTTAACAATATTTTAACTAGGAAGAAGATGTGTTTAAAAAGAAAAAAATAATATATTTATTAGGAAAAGGACATTTTCGACCCATTTTATAGCTATAGGACATTTCTGGACTAAAATATTGATAAGGACATTTTTACATCACACTATGAAAGGAGGACATTTTTGTTCCTTTTACATAGTTTAAGAAAAAATTTTGACGTTTTCTCCCCTAATATTTTTTTAACCTTTTCTCAATGTCCAAAATAAATAAATGAATTATTCAATGTTCAAGAGAGTTATTTGGAATTTATTCCATTTATGTCCTTCATTTAGATTTTCTAGATGATAAGTTCAAGAGAGTTAATTGTTTATATTTATGGAAAAGGGTCAAAATTGCTCCTTAACTATGTGAAATTGACCACATATACTCTTCATTATATTTTGAAATAAAACATGTCCTATTGTTATCCTAAGAAACTGCATATACCCTCAAGAGTTAACACTCCACATTTATTATTGACTTGGCAAGCCACGTGGGACTAATCCTTCTACCTAATCTTTGCCAACTAGGATTCAATACAAAAGAACTAGACCTTTCTTGGCGACCAGAAAATCGCCACTAAAAGTCTTTAACAATAAGTTCTAATTTGTCTTTTTTCTTCATTTTCTAAAAAAAACAAAAATTATATTAATTGAGTACTGTATGTTTTATTTTTATGTCATATTTAAATGTATAAAATGTACAATAATGCATTATATAGTAAGAGATGTGAATCGAGAAGTAATTTTCATAATTTTTTGTAATAACATTGGATGTTTTTAATACTTTAGAAAATTAGGTTGTAATAGAAAATTAATTGTCATATTTTTTTTTGTTGAAAAAATGATTTTACTAATGAATTATTGTTGAAGCCTTAGTGGTCACTAAAAATCACTCATAACCTTTAGTGGCAATTTTTGGGATTTTATGGCGACAAAGACGTTAAGTTCTTTTGTAGTAAATCTTAGTTGGCAATGCATAGGTGGAGGGATTAGTCTCATGTGACTTGTCACGTCACTAAAAAATTAGGGTGTTAACTTTTGAGGGTATTTGTGGTCTCCTAAAATAAATAATATAAATAATCTTCTACGAAAAAGGGCCCAAAATACCCTTAAAGTATTGAAAATGGTACAAACCTATTGGCTCCAAAATGTCCTTTTCATCCACCTATTGGCTCTAAAATACCCTTGTCATCCACCTTTGAGTTCAAAATTGACCACTTATTTAATGATTTTAAATTTAAACTATTTAAATATTTTTTAAAATACATGATGCTCAACTATTGGTTATAATTTAATTTATTTGTATCATTTATAAACCAACTCACTACCCACTCATTACTAACTAAACCCCACCCAATTAATAATCCAACTATTATATAAAAATCGTCATACACACTACTAAAACACGATGAAATTATAGATTCCTGAAAAATGACATCTAAAATTATTCGAGTCCGAATTAGAGCCCCAATTAAATTTATGTTGAGCCGCTTATTTAGGACACTTTCAATAGGATTCTCTTTCAAGATTGAATTAGAAATTTATGATTAAATGTAAATAATTAGTATATTCCGAATTAATTCATGCACTTTTTTAAAATATACTTTTACAAATATTTATGATTTGTTTTAAAACCTTTAATATATTATTTTGAAAAAAAAGTTATCTATGAAGTAACATCACATAATTGAGACGTAAGAATAATTAAGATGAACATAGTCAGACTTTTAAATTTGTCGGTAATTTTTATTTAGACGCTTGAATGTATGATAAGTTTACTTCTATATATATTTTCGTCTCAAATTTTTTAAAACACTCAATTGGCAGTAGCTAATCTGTTGTTGCATTAATAATGTGACGGGTTTATTAATTTGGTGGGTTTAATTAGTAGTGGGTGGATAGTGGATTGATTTATAAATTATACTAATAAGTTAAATTATAACAATAGTTGAGCGTCACGTATTTAAAAAATATTTAAATAGTTTAAATATAAAACCGTTAAATAAGTGGTCAATTTTGAACCAAAAGGTGGATGACAAGGGTATTTTGGAGTCAATAGATAGGTGGGAAGGGTATTTTGGAGCCAATTGGTGGATGAAGGGTAATTTTTCACCATTTCTAATACTTGAAGGATATTTTAGGCCGTTTTCCGATTTTATATGATTTAAGAGCAATGTTGACTCTTTTCCCTAAAATTTATGATACAACTATAAAATTGCTTACGCTTCGCATGGTAATGAACTATCCAAGTAGCTCACATCTTTTTGTATTTGTTGTGTAGTTGATAAAATTATTTTAAAATACCAAAGCACATCCCATTTAGTTGGATGTACCAGCGTATGACCATTTCAATTAGATGATGCCTAAGGTCTAAGGATGTACGTCGGGAGAATATTATCATTTAAGCTTTCACAATGCCAAATATACAAATTTGACAAAATTCCACAAAAATAGCCAGCCAAACTATTATATTACTCTATCAAGATATATTACGTATGAATCAACATGTCTAATTTAAAAGCATGACCAGGGTTTATTTAAGTTTAGTTTATCATATGCTTCATATAAACATCATACTTATATAGGATATCACTCAATTAATTTAAAATGAGTTTCATATCATTTAAGTTGCTGCTCACATAAATCTATTATTAGTATATGTTATTGAAGAAGAAGGAAGCTGCCGATTGGAACATTCAAAGGAACAAGTCCAACATAGCTGACTGACTTGTTTACTGCAAGTGTTGATGAAGAAGGAAGCCGAGGATTGGAACATGTCGAAGGAACAGGTCAAACGAAGCTGACTAGCGAGTTTACAACACTGCTGAAGAATTAGTGTCGCACTTGGATTAAACTACCTATGTTAATTAGGATTATATTTTGACTAAAATTATATTATGATTAGGATTATATTATGATTAGGATTACTATTAGAATTATAGTACAATAGACATCATACTCATATAGGATATCACTCAATTAATTTAAAATGAGTTTCATATCATTTAAGTTGCTGCTCACATAAATCTATTATTAGTATATGTTGTTGAAGAAGATAGAAGATGACGATTGGAACATGTCAAAAGAACAAGTCCAACACAGCTGATTGACTTGTCTACAACAAGTGTTGATGAAGAAGGAAACTGAGGATTGGAACATGTCCAACGAAGTTGACTGACGAGTTTACAGCACTGCTGAAGAATTAGAGTCGCACTTGGATTAGACTACCTATATTAATTAGGATTATATTTTGACTAAAATTATGTTATGATTAGGATTATATTATGATTAGGATTACTATTAGAATTATAGTACAACTAGAATATAGATTATTTATAATTGCATTATTATTATTATATTAGTAATAGCTAGGTATTGTAGAAGGACTCTAAATATAGTTAATAATTTCGTATGAGAGCGAAATAAAGACCAAGGAAACAATGATTTTCCTGTCATCACACGTAATTTAATTTCCCTCCTTTTTTTTCTCGCTCGAAAGCCCTCGATAAAGGAAGTACAGATAGAATAGTGAGTTGAGTCTTTATTATTAGCGAGAGTTTTCACTCCAAAAAAGATTCATACTCTACATATTCTGCATATGTATGTCATTATTTAAAAATTCCGCTTATAGCATAGTTAAATTTTCAGCATATGTCATCATATACACTTCATGCCTACATGTTTTTTTAGAAAAAACAACTAGCATGCTAATAACTAAAATTGTTGTAAATATCTTTCTTTTATTGCAATCATCCTAGTAATTAAAATTGTTCTCATATGCCTAATCTTTGAACTTCAGCTCTA